CTCAGCCTCCTGAGTAGCTAGGTGCCACTGGCACCCGACAGAATGTGTATATTTCTAATATATTAGGAAGCAGATTATTGCCTCGAATCTTGATTGCTTGTTCTTACATGTTTGTTTGGATTTTTAGTGATGGGAAGAGGTTTGTTAATAAATGAATGTGTTAGAATTTATTTTCATGATTATTGTACCTGCTTGTTCATGCAGTATTTATCTAACATCCTCTTTATGCCAGATTCTAGTCAAGTTTTTTAGTCTGAGTATTTTCTCTTATAAGATTTAAAAACATTCACCAAATTAGATTTTATTATCTTTTCCATGGAAGTTCTTGTATTGTCAGCACAAAGCCAACATTCCTCTGCTTCATAGGTGTTTTGCTTTTGAGGTATAGTGAAATCTTTGCTGTTCACCAGATGTAATGTTTTAGTTCCTTACAAACAGGATTGGGGGCATGCAAAAACTGACATTGAAAATTTGAAACAGTGAAGTGGATTTTATTTTTTGTTCATTGTTGGTGGTTAAAAAAAATCCCCCTATATAATTACTGTGGACACCTTGCTTTGTGGTCACTGTAAATATTTGGGGGGAGGGACAGGGAGAAAGTAACAATAGTTCACATGTCTCTGGCATTTGTTCAGTGTGCAGAATGTAATGCTCTTTTGTAAGAAATGTTTTCTGATTTAAAAAAATAAATTTAGTGAACTTGCTTCTGGTAGTCATTTTTAAACTGTTTTCAAATGGTGGCTGAATTTTCTAACCTACTCCTAAACACTAAGTTTGATTTTTCAGCGCTTTTTGTATAAATGTACCTCTTGGATATAAACAAAATATACTGGCAAATTCAGTTCTGGTGATTTCCTGGTGGTTTGAAAGTCCATTGCTTGGGGAGAAATTACATCATGCACATATTCATGCTTATAATAAGATGGATTTTAAATTTTTTTTGCAAATGCTTGCCCTAATTTTACATGTTTTCTGTTGTTAAGAACCAAGGTATGGAGAGTGACACCATAAGTTAATGTAAGTATATACCCGAAGAAGGATTGGCAGCAAGATTTATTACTTAGATTAACATTTAGTTATGGGAGTGGTAGATGGCTGAATAAAATCTGGTTATTTTTATTACATAATTTCTCACAGACTTAAACTGTCAACCCTAGTAGTGTCTATCAAACTTGGTAAAAATATATACACTTGTTTTTTCATTGCATGCAAATTATAAAAATGTACTCTTTCTCTGTTGTATGTTTGATTATGAAGGAAATGTTTGACAACAGTTCAAACAATGAAAGAAAAAAAGTTCTTGTGAATGCTTTATGTGGTATCTTGGCATTTGTATTGATAGTTCAAAATTTACTTCCAAATAAAAATCCCATGGGGGCTGGGAAGGTGGCTCAGTGGTAGAGCGCTTGCCTTGCATGCATGAGGCCCTGGGTTCGATTCCTCAGCACCACATAAGCAAAAAGAAAAAAG